AAATCAAAACCCAAATCATCGACCTACAATAATTCACACTAATTCGACTGGATAGTTCCGCTCAATAATCACTACACTCAGTAGCCTGACACCGCTATTTATACACCTGGCGGAAAACATATATTCAAGTCCAGAGTGTCACGCTCGAACCTCGGAGGCGGTAGATATTCATTTTCTTCCTATATGACAGGTCTACGACTATATCGGCCTCGTTTGAACCTTTTCTGTTCTGACGGAAAGTTTTTTTTTTCCCTCTTGACTGGAAAGCAAGATGCCGGAAGAGAGTTCCACCAGTAAGAAGTGCAATCGAAGAGTATCTCAGAATAAAATTTCCGGTTACATCTAGCAATTTCGACTGTACAATGATGAGACCTAAGTACCAATCTAGTACTGCGTTTAAATTCGTAATTGTCGAGGTGCCAACTAGGAAACCTCGACAAAATAATTGCCATGAAAATATTTATAGAAAAGGGAACAATGAAGATCTGTTATGGTAGTGAAAAGGTGACCGAAGCCAAGGTGCCAGGTCAGGACAGATAACATTGCAGATTCTTCTTTGTATTTTATCTAGAATCTCTAAATACATAGCAGAAGCACCAAACGAGATGTGATAGCAATATTCAATGCATGGGCGAATGAATGGCTTAAAAATATGTAAGATAGATTCTGGAGAAGGCTCCGTGCGTTCGTGGGTTCGTGTGTGTGTGTGTTAGGGCATGCGTACTTGAGTCGGTAAGAGTCCAATGAGATAAGCAAATGTCCAAAACATATGTCTACACATTTTTGCGTTCTCGTTTGAGCGAATTGAGACTGATGGTGGGCGTAGTTGTTTGGAGATATATACATGTTGTTAGTTATTAAGCGTGACTCAAATCTGGCATCCAGAAATGAGGTATCCACCACGGATCGAACTCCGACTAGTCTGCTAACCAAAGCAGCACGATTAGCTGCATGGATATCTATGTATTTTTTTGTGTTTACAGAAGCGAATGGATCCAAATTAGTTTTGAGAATGTCAGTGACAGCAGTGAATAGGAGAGAACAACAACAACAATAATAATAATAATGAAGAACAAGAACAAGAAGACGACGATGACGACGAAGAAGAAGAAGAACACAAACAACAAGACAACGACGACGAAGATGAAGAAACAGAGGAAGAAGACGACGACGACGACGAAGAAGAAGAAGAAGAAGAAGAAGAAGAAAAAGAAGCAGAGAAAGAAGACAACGAACGAGGAAGAAGAAGAAGAAGAAGAAGAAGAAGACGAAGACGACGACGAAGACGACGACGAAGACGACGACGAAGACGAAGAAGCTGAGGAAGATGACGACGATGACGAAGACGACAACGACGAAGAAGAAGAAGAAAAAGAAAGTCGAGGTCAAAAGACGAGTTCTCAGGGAGATAACAACGCAAGAACAGACAATTGCCTTACGTCAGAGCTCTTAAACAATCCACAACTTTTTTCGACCTGGTATCTTTCCGCAAGTATTCACAAGTTACTTACTACATAAATATTAAACTATTATCGCTTTCATAATCAACGATTTATTTCCCATTGCTTCCTATTCGTTCCTCTATATTTTCCCTTTTTTTTTATTAAACTTCTAGTTTGACAAAAGACCAACAATACGTTTGTATCGCTGTTCATCGCGTTTTCCGTTAGTTTGGCAATGGCAACTATTTTTTTTCACATTATTTATCAAGCTTTACTTAGTTTCGCAAAGGCCAAACATTTCATTTCAGCACAATTTTTGTCAGGCTTTCTATAGTTTGACTAAAGGGCAAATATTCTATTACTTCTATTTTCTATTGTTTATGAAGAATTTAGTTTCGCAAAAGGTGCACACATCTATCTTCCATTTGTTTATCGACATTTCTTTAGTTTTACAAAAGAAAGAAATTCTTCTCATTGTTTATCAAGAATTCTTTGGTTTATCAGAGGTCAAATATTTAAAGATTTCTTTACTTTGGCAAAAGGAGACATTTCATTTTTTTTTTCTCATTGTTTATCAAACCTTCATTTGTCAAAGAAAAAATATGCCATTTTATCAATGTTTACCAGCTTTTCATTTGGTAAAGGGAAATAATTCATTTCTACCCATTTGCTAATAGACAGCATTTCATTTATTCGTACTGTTTATCAAGATTTATTTACTTTGTTAAAAGACAAACCTTCTTTTTTATCCATTCTTTCTCAAAATTTCTTATCTTCTGCAAAACGTAAAATTTAGTTTCTCAACGTTGAAGCGTATTATTTAAATTTGAAAGTTGCGAACACCCCCACCACTTTCTTTACAAAGCCCTATTCGATCTTTCTAAAGATCAGTTTTTTTTTTATTATATCGCATTGTTTATAAAGCTTTGTGTCATCTTCTAAAAGGCCAAAATTCCTCTTCTATGTTTATCAAGCTTCGGGTTATCTGAAAAATAACAACATTTCAAAGTATCCCATAGTTTATCAAGCCTTCTTTAGCTTGCTAAAGGGCAAAACATTCGAGTTTTCTTTTATTTATGAAGATTTATTTATTTTGCAAAAGGTCATCATTCTATTTCACTACTTTATTCGCCCAGTTTTGTTTCAACGGGGAAAGATTTGGTTTGGTTTGTTTTGTTTTACGGTATATCAACCTCAATGGGTTATTTAATGCCGGCAAGATTTTTATTGCTAGTAATATTTTTTTATCTATCTATCAGGTCATCCCATAAGTTCTGTCCGAATTTTAGCTTTTTGTTAAAATGAACGAAATTTAAAGAGTATTTTATAATGTCTAATGGAGCTGAACATTATTTCTATGTTTAGATGCATTTAAACTGATCAAATTTTATTTCTGAGAACGATAAAATTAAATTTTGTTTTATTAAAACCCTGCTAACATGGAAGTACCCAAGAATCATTTGAGGCACATAATGCGGAAGCGGCTAGAAACATTCACTCAGTTTATGGAGAGGAATATGTGAATGAAAGAACTTGCAGAAGATGGTTTGCAAAATTCAGAGAAGATGAAGATCGAACCGGACGTCCAGTTGAGTTTGATGAAAAGCTTCTTGAAGCAGCCCTTGAAGAAAATCCTGCTTTATCCAACTAAATACAACTGTTCATCGTCATCTTCAATAACTTGGAGAAGTTCCTAAATTTGGAAAATAGGTGCCTCATGAATTGTCTGAAAACAACCTCAAATCCCGAGTTGACATCTGCTTTCTCTCCATTCTCGCCAATTTGTTTCACCTTTTTTGGATAGACTTGTGACTAGCGACGAAAAATGGATGTTTTATCGAAATGTTAAGCGCCGTAGACAGTGGCTTGGTAAAGGGGAAGGACCCCAGCCACAGCCGAGAAGGGAACTTCATGGGCAAAAGGTTCTTCTTTCAATCTGGTGGGTTCGCCAATGAATTATCCACTTTGAATTCTTACCACCTAATGCAACAATTAATACTCAAATATACTGTCAGCAATTAGAGCGTTTGAACCAAGCTTTGGGGAAAAAAGACCTGCTCTAGTGAATCGAAAAGGGGTGATGTTTCATCAGGACAATGCGCAACCCAACACAGCAAGAATCATGTTACAAAAGATCGAAGACCTTGGTTGGGAGAAAAAAAGAAACAGCTTTTGTAACACAGGAAAAGGTTAAAACTGACATCTGTGAGTTCTTTGAATCAAAGCCAAAAGAATTTTACAGTAATGGAATTAGTAAGCTTGTTAATAGATGGAAGGAAGTCATAGATAATCAGGGAAAATACATTGTTGATTGAATCTGTAATTAAATGTAATATTTGGTCACTTGTTTTCTTTATTCAAAATTCGGACAGAACTTATGAGATGACCTGATATCTATCTATCTTGGTCACTTCATGTTTATCTGTCTCACTTGATCCCTTCATATCTATCTATCTATCTATCTATCCCAGTATATATTGGTTTATTTGGTTTGTTTTGTTTTACGGCATATCAACCTCAATGGGTTATTTAATGCTGACAAGATTTTTATTGCTGGTAATATTTTTTTTAATAAAAAAACGTATTGCTGGTAATATTGATTTTTTTTAAAAATATTTTGCTGGTAATATTTTTTCTTCAAAAATGTACTGCTGGTAAGATTTTTTCCAAATATGTATTGCTGGTAATAATTTTTTTCTTCAAAAATTTATTGGTGGTATATTTTTACAAAAACGTATTGCTGGTATTAAAACCCATTTTTATACTTTCGTACTGTTTTAACCCCAGTTTGGGGCTTAACTATTTACCCATAGCTGGGACCCTCACATGTGCTACCACCCCGGGTCAGGGTGGACCTGGGAACACCAGGTGGTTTCACGTTCCACAAAGCCTCCTGATCAGAGGCCTTGCTGTTTCATGTACTATATCGTCTTACCCAGGACGCGGACGTAGTTTATCGTTTTGCCCAGGACGTGGATGTAGTCTATCGTTTTACCCAGGAAGTGGATGTAGTTTATCGTCTTACCCAGGACGTGGATGTAGTTTATCGCCTTAACCAGGACGTGGATGTCGTTTATCGTTTTACCCAGGACGCAGACGTAGTTTATCGTCTTACCCAGGACGTGGATGTAGTATATCGTCTAAACCAGGAAGCGGGACGCGGATATAGTTTATCGTCTTACCCAGGACGCGGGCGTAGTTTATCCTCTTACCCAGGACGTGGATGTAGTTTATAGTCTTACCCAGGACGCGGATGTTGTTTATTGTCTTACCCAGGACGCGGATGTAGTTTATAGTCTTACCCAGGACGCGGATGTAGTTTATCATCTTACCCAGGAGGCGGATATAGTTTGTTGTCTTACTCAGGATGTGAAAGTAGTTTATCGTCTTACCCAGGACGTGGATATAGTTCATCGTTTTACCCAGGATGCGTCTGAAAAAGGTGAAGATTCTATTTCTTAATTCTTATGAAAATACTCAGTTTATTCGAACAGTATGCCAGAAACTCATTTCTCCCATTGTGTATTAAGTTTGTTAAATTTCTCAAAAAGCTAACACATGATTTCTTCCCTTTCTATGGGGATTGCTTTACTCGAGCAAATGATTCACCATATGCTCTTTATTTGTCAAGCAATGGTTTGTTTAACAAAAGGCCCGTATTTGATGTCTGTAATATTTTTATCACCAATTCAATGTTTGAAGAAGCTTATCAAACTAGATTTACTTTGGCAAACGAAGTGCATTTCCTCTCTTCTTTAGTTTCGAGATAAAGTTACAAAATATTTCTTCCCAGAAATGATGAACGTCTGTTTAGTTGAAAAAAATATCAACACTTCATTTCTTTCGTTACACCGACTAAAAGCCAAGGTTACATTTCGTTTCATTGTTTATCAAGCATTCTTTATTATGTCGAAATAACAACATTTAATTTCATCTCTGTCGTTATTAGACTTTCTTGAAGTTTGACGAAATGATCATCTTTCATGTCCTTGCATGTCTATGCGTTCTGTATTATGTCGAAATAACAATATTTAATTTCTCTTTCGTTATCAGACTTTTTGTTGATTGGCGAAACATCATTTCATTTCTTCACATTTTTTTATCAAGCGTTCATATCTATCGATCTATATATTTATCTATCTTTCTCAGACTGTTAATATATATCTATCTCTCTATCTATCGCAGTCTGTTCATATCTATCTATCTATCTATCTATCTATCTATCTATCTATCTATCTATCTATGTCAGTCTGTCCATATCTATCTATGTCATTTTGTCCATATCTATCTATCTATCTATATATATATATATATATATATATATGTAATATCAGTCGGCCCAGTATTTTTATATCTATCTGTCTATCTATCTATCTATCTATCTATCTATCTATCTATCTATCGTAGTCCCTTCATATCTATCTATCTATCTATCTATCTATCTATCTATCTATCGATGTCTGTCTGCCCATATCTATCTATTTATTTATCTATCGAAATATGTTAATATCTATATATCGTAGTGTCTTCATATCTAACTATATATCTACCTATGTGCCTCTGTATATATATATATATATATTGAATGAATATGCGGCTTTAAACTGATCGGAATTAGCGAGTATAAAAATTGGAAGTCACTCTTTCTCACCGACTTCTCTCTCTCCTTCACTGCCAAGTAATTATTAGACTATCGATACTAAGGACAATAAAAGCCGTCCATGCAGACAATATGCGTTGTAGTGTTTAATACCACGGGAAGGAATATTTCTTCTGTCGAAAAGAAATCTTATTTGATTTTTCAGTTTGGCGTGTTAGTTCGTGGAAAGCCGTGGAAACTAACATATTGACACAACTAACTAGTCTCAACTCCGGACGACATTGTTTGCCAGACACAGATTCGTGACCGATAATCAACGACATATCATGACAATATCACTGCTGCTCATGTAATGGTCGTAGAATAGGCAAACAATCTACGCGCAACAAATCAACCCAATATTAAGATAAACTAGAACAATATCAGGAAAAATATGTTTGATGATTTAATAATGATGTTCTGAATTTCCATGAAAAACGCATTTGTTAAAAACTGCCAGAAACGTTTTCGTCGGCCTAATAATATCCTATAATAATTTCCTATAAAATTTTTCCTATCATAATTTTCCTATATTAATTTTTCCTATAATAATTAACCATAATAAGTTTCCTAAAAAAAATTTTCCTATAATTATTAACCATAATAATTTCCTATAATAATATTTCCTCTAATAATTTTTTACTATAATAAGCTTTCCTATAATAATTTTCCTATCAAAATTCTATAATAATTTCCCTATAATAATAATCTATAATAATTTTCCTATAATAACTATTTTCCTATAATAATTTCCTATAATAATTTTCCTACCATATTTTCTATAATGATTTCTCCTATAATAATTTTTCCTATAATTATTTATATAATAATTATTACTCTAATAATTTTTCCTACTATATTTACTATAATAATTTTTTTCTATAATAATTTTTTCTGCACTGCACCAACAAAAAGCAAAGGTTTCAGCAAGCTAAGAATCTTAAAGGCCAGGAAAACCCCAAAACAAAGTGATTCTCCGACGATGAAATACTCGGATTTTCGAGAAGACCCGAGAATAAAGAATTTTACAATAATAAAAAACATTTTTAGACGGTGCCATATGTGCGTTCAGTGACATAGAACACACTCTGATAAAACAATTTTTCCATCCTATTTTGGGGGTTTGTTTTCTTTTCAATTCTACTATTCAAAAAACATCATTTTTTCTGGACATCATAATAAGATATCTTCTTGTCTTTCCAGCTACTTTGTTTATCCCAAGGGTTTGAGGATCAATACCTTGTTCCGGATATTTCAGATGTTTGAGATCCGTCTAATCTTGACTGAGTCTGATGAGGTCCCTCTGCTCCAGAAGAACTGAAGATAAACCCGATTTGGCGGTTGGAACCTGACAAGAAAATCTTTGATCTTCTTTGCTGTTCGATTAAACCGCTAATCAATTTTGGTTCCACTCTCAGGTCAGTAGGGACGAATAATTCTCTTCCTGATTTATTTGGAATGTCTGAGTAGACAGCGAATCAGCCTGGAATTCTTTGATGAAGCATTTTTCGTCAATATCTCTGTTCTTTATGAATGAGCTAACGTTGGACAGAAATGTGTTGCCTGTTAATATTAAATTTATTTGTCAACAAGGAATATGGTAAATGTTTTACACCACAATACCAGAAAGCGGACGACGTACAGTTCTACATATAACATTAAACGTCTTGTTGCATTGTTATATGCTTGACGTCTGAAAATGGAAATATTATGCTTGTTTAGCGGCACATCAACTCCTTATGGGTCATTTAATGCCGAAATTTAATTTTCTAGAGAGCATTAGTAAATTCTTTTAAAAAATGTTTTGCCGGTAATTTTTCTAGTTCCACGTCCCATTCCTTCAATATCTGTCTATATTTCTGAGATGAGGTATTATGATTACTTGTATTATTTACATTATTCGGACAGTTATCCTCATCTTCATTGCCATATTCACAACGTTTCGGCCGTGGAAAGATCCGACCTTCTTCAGGCCACTGGAATTGCGAACCGACCCCTTTTCGTCTACTGGGGTTCTAGTTCCACGTGTCATGCCTCTTCCGGATGTCCCCAAGGCCTAGTTGTTAAAGACGTTGGTTAGATCCAGTGATCCAAAGAGTTGTCAGTTCAATATCAGGCCACAGCAGTGGTCAACCAAAACTTAGAGAGTTGAGTTAAAGGGAAATAACTGAGACATCCGAAAGAAAATAAAGGGCTCGATTCGCAATTCCAATGACCTGAAGAAGGCCTGTGCGTACATCGGCTGAAACGTTGTGAATATGACAATAGAGATGAGGATAACAGTCCGAATAATGTAAGTAATGTAAATAATCATAATACATCATCTCAGAGATCCAATCACCTGAAGAAGACTAGAGCTTACAACGGCCGAAACGTTGTGAATATGGCAATGAAGATAACGTTTTTTATAGATACAACAATGAATGCCCTGTTTATAATAAATTGTATTAACAACATTTACCGGCCTGAATGTCTGAGAAATCTCAAAGAAAATATGTGTCCTCCGTCAGGAATCAAAGCTGTATCCTACACGGAACCGCCATATAGCCTGACGTGCTATAGCATTGAGCTACAGAGGAAGCGTCTGGTTAGCAAAGTTAAATTACTTTTTTTGAACTACAAACTTCCCCTGATTTCTCTCGAACGCTCATATCTGCTCCAGTACTATCTTAACGTAAACAAATGACATATGAAAATATATTATGAAAAGTCCGACAATTATTTTAATATATGCTTTATCTATACCTCATTTTTATAGATACAAATATTTAAGTAAATGCCTTGTTTATAATAAACAGTATTAACAACATTTACCAGCCTGAATGTCCCAGAAATCTCAAAGAAAATATATGTCCTCCGACACACGCACACGCACACACACACACACACACACACATATATATATATATATATATATATATACTATACTGTTCATTCTGTACAAGGCCCAAGAGTCACTCAAGGTAGATGGTTACAGGGCAAGAGGCACAGCTTATGGGAATACGTGAAGATATCGGTTAACTCTAGACATGAACCGGTTCATATTGTAGTGATCGGGGAAGCATCCCCTTGGGAGTCAATTGCACAAATGAGAAGAAGCTGCTGGAGTGGAACTTAAATCTCGCCAACGGAATACGCTAAATTAAAAACTCAAAATCTTTCCCCCATCTTTAGCACTTCCCCTCGATACATAATTATAACCGACGTCCGCGTTTATATCTCCCACTACACGTATTTAATTCATTTAATAAAAAAAAAAAATATTACTTTAGTCTGATGAAGTCCTCCTAGAGTTCGAAACGTGTTACACAGGATTTTTTTTTTTTTGTCATTCTGTTACCTATTGTATATACATCCCTACACCCGTCTCTTCTATTAACTATGGAGGAACAATGTGATATGCATGTTGAGCGGAGAGATGGGTCCTTTAACACTAGTGTTTACCGTAAACCTACATTTCCACCAATTTGTTTGTTACCAAATCCCGGAAGTTAAATTTAATTTCCACTTTGACCCATCGTGCGCTGATGATCTATTCCCTTTGCAAACTTGATGGTAAAATGGAAAACATCCATAGTATTTTACGGAATAATGGTTACCCGAAGAATGTTAGTAAATATACAATTGAGCGAAGGCTTGAAAGTTTTAAGTCCCTACTTATGTTTGGTACCGATTTGTGTCTGGTTTATGTGAACTTGCAGTGGCTGGGGAGGGCCAGTCAGATCTTGGCTAATAGAGTGTCAGCATTCGTTAAGTGATATTTTCTTGTCGCCAGGACTCGTGTTGTTTTTGACAGTCCCGCAATTTCTGCGTTTGTTAAACATGGTCAGCCCTATCTAAAAAATAGTTTGGTCGTTTATAAATTTACATGTCAATGTGTGGCTAACTATATAGGGCAGACCAATCAGCGCCTTGAAACGTGCACTGCACAATATGTGGCTGGCAAATCCGGAAAGGGTATTTTGCACGTAGTCTGACGCAGACAACACAGGATTCCGCAATAGGCCATCACTTTTCAGATAAATTTTAGCTTGAGGATGAAACAGGACTTGTTACTTTAATTCAATTTAATTTCAATAATTATATTGAGGTTTTCGGCTTTCGTTTTTGAAACATGAGAACTCTTAGGTAGCGAAGGAATCATATTTTTTTTAAATAATTATAATTTAAGCTCTACTTCTGTATGGAGCTCTGTTTTTAAAAACAAAAATACTAAAGAACTCCGGATTATTTACCTAACGTGTTCTTTTCTATTTTTCTACATAATATATATATATATATATATATATATATATATATATATATATATATATTTGTTTAATAAATAAATGTATCACATACTCAAAGCAAGTATCCACTAAAATAACGTTTAAAATAATAAAAATCTGTCAAGTTAATAAAAAATCCATTCTAAAATATACATAAATATAAAACGTTTAAGTATTTATTAACAGTTATCAGCGGCTAATAAAATTAACTGGACTCTTAGGAAAAAGTCCACCATCATGTTGACAATGTTTCCAAAGATGTTTCATTCAGTGATCAGAATAAAGAAATCATATTGACTAACATGGATATTTGCGCTAGAAATAATCTTTAAAAATGCTAGAAATTTGAATGTATCTAGTTTTAAGCATAGCAAAAATAACTAATGTGATTTCAGGCATTACTGTAAATCAGTTGGCAAATGTTTTCCGTGAACTACAAATTCCTATTACCCTTTGTATTACTAATGATGGAGGACATGTGGAATCTTAAACAAAATTTCAATAAAACCTTAAAAAAATATAGATTTACTTCTTTTTAATCCTTTTTAGAAATTATTTCTATCGCAAATACAAATAAAGTTATAAATTTTTGAAAGTGCACACGAAATTTATGGACACCATATATATATATATATATATATATATATATATATATATATATATATATATATATATATCAAAATAATGAACAAATAGTTAACGTATTTAATAAAACATGTTAGATTGATATATGTTCTTATTTGTTGTTATATCATTCGTCGGATACCGATCCATATTTGATTTGCATTTGATCTTTAATTCATATATATATATATATATATATATATATATATATATATATATATGTATATATCCTGTTTTGCTTTTGCCATTCAGTCTTCTCTTCTTTTATCTTTTCTCTTTATTCGTAACTCAATTTTTTTCATTCTTCAGCACACTCTCATTCCACGTCTCTCTCACCTTCTCTTTTATTTCTCCCTCTCTCTTGCTTCTGTTACATCTTCTTCTATTGCTCACCCTCCCTATCTTTGTCCACTTTCCTTCCCTTTCTCTCCAAACGCAAACATATAAACATCGCGTAGAAGCAAGAAAAGGAATTGAAACCATCAGATAATTGTGTCAGCCGAGATATTGTTCGAACTTAATACTTGTGGCGACCCTTTACTTTCTTATTCTTTACTGATATCAACGGCTTATCTGACCTGGGCGGGGTCTCCCTGCGCCAAAGCCTCGGCCTTAACGCATGTTCCAACGACCTGCTTCACTCTTTATTCTTATTCAAAACCGATGCCAAGATAAAAGTATTCGAGTTGATCCCCGGCGGCAATACAACAAGTAAATATTATTTATGAAAGTATAAACATATTTAATCACAACAGATAAAACCAATGCGGAGCTGATTTCTGATTAACAATGACTTACATATTCTTCCAAATCAAAAGCCATTGCCTTCACCGTATCTCCCCAACCACTTTTTCAATTGCCAGCGCATTTTTTCTCTTCTTTCCCCGCGTGCGCCCGCACTAAATAACCCAATTTCTTTATCAAATTTCATCTTGGCCGTTCCCCACTCTCTCTCTCTCTCTCTCTCTCTCTCTCTCTCTCTCATATCTTGGCTGTTTCTCTCTTCCTCTCTCTCTCTCTCTCTTTCTCATCATCTTGGCTATTCCACTCTCTCTCTCTCTCTCTCTCTATCAATCTATCTATCTCTATCACCTCGGCCGTTCCCCTCTTTCTCTCTGTCTCTCTCATCTTGTCCATTTCTCTCTCACTCTCACTCATCTTGGCCGTTCCCCTTCTCTATCTCTCTCATCCTGGCCTTCCCCCCTCTCTCTCTCTCTCTCTCTCTCTCTCTCTCTCGCTGTCTTAGCTTAGCCGTTCCTCTCTCTCTTTCTCATCTTGGCCATCCCCTCTCTCTCTCTTTCTCTCTCTCTACGTCTTTTTCTCTCTCATCTTGGCCGTTCCCCCCCTCTCTCTCGCAGCTTGGCTGTTTCTCTCTCTCTCTCTTTCTCTCTCTCTCTCTTTCATTTTCTAACTTTATACTTCGCACTTCTTCCTTTACCTCTTCTTTTTATGGCAATCTGCTTTTCCTTCGTCTCCTTCTTTTTGTCACTTTATACTCTTCTTTCATTTTTGTTTTTATTTCTTCTTCTTCTTCTTCTCAATTTCAGACCCTCATTTCATTTTCTGAACTCCCCTTCTCCCTTCTCCCTTCTCCCTTCTCTTCCTTACTCTATATTATTTTTTTTCTTCTCCTTCTTTTTTCTTCCACTTCTTTTCTTCTTGTTACCTCAGCCTCTTACATTGTTTCGTCCTCTTGTTCTCTTTCCTTCTTTTTTTTTTGTTTTCTAGTCGTCTCTTCTTCTTCTTCTTCTTCTTCTTCTTCTTCTTCTTCTTCCTAATCCTTACTTTATTTTCTGACCTTTTAATTCTTTTTCTTATTCTTGTCACTTATATCAATTCATAACCTTCTCTTCCTCCTCCTCCAAACTCCTCCTCCTCTTCCTCCTTCTCTACATTTTTTCTTCTTTTTCTTCTTCTTGTCAGCTTAGAGACTTCTTCCATTCTCTGACTTTGTCCTTCAATTTCTCCTTCTACATTCCTTTCTACTTCTTTCACCTTAAACCTTTATTCTATATTCGGAACACCTTTTTCTTCTTCTTCTTCTTCTTCTTCTTCGTCTTCTTCTTCTTCTTCTTCTTCTTCTTCTTCTTCTTCTTCTTCTTCTTCTTTGTCTTCACCTCTCCCTCCTCCTTCTTGTCACATTAGAACCTTATTACTATTTCTGACTTCCTACTACACTTCCTGTTTCTTCTCGTCATGTCGGATCTTTCCTGTAATTTCTGCTCTCCTCCTTCCTGTCCTCATTCCACTTGTCATCTCAGATAGTTTTCTAATTCCCTGACCTCCTCTTATTCTACTTCTCGAGCCAGGAATTTTCTTATCCTCTTCATTCTTCTTCTTCTTCTTCTTCTTCTTCTTCTTGTCAACGCAGTCCTTTATACTCTTTCTTGACTTTCTCCTGCTACTACTCCTCATCTCTTCATCCTATTCTTCCTGTTGTTCTAGACTTACAGCTACATCACGTTAAAACACCTGTTCTCGTACGATCACCGAAGTTAAGGAACGTCGAGCCTGGTCAGTATCTAGATGGGTGACCGCTAGAGAATACCAAGTGCTGTAAGCTTGTACGTGCGGATGGTGTAATGGAAATGGCTTGGAATTATTAATCAGAGAGAGATGAGATCCAATTCCCGTTCACTTATTCGGAAATATCTTTGTAAAAAGTATGAATCCACTACTTCTCCCCTTAGATATGGGTTAATTAGTAAAACTTGTATCATTTAACCATTATTATCTAAAAGAAATTCTTACAATCTAAAAGTGAAGTGAATTCGATCCTCACTGGGTGTTCAACTGACAGAAACAGATTAAGTTTAGCTTAATAAACGGGCCATAAAATTAGTAGTGTAATTCATCGGTTACTAATTAGTAGTGTAATTCATCGGTTACTAAGTATGGAATACTAATTCGCTCTCACAGAGCGCTCCGCTAAATGTGACCAATGTGCCAAAAGAAACTTGTCTTATTTACGGCTGAATGAACTATCTACATATTGACCTCTATCACCAGTAGTAAGAGATTGACCCTAGGTCAAAATCAGGATTTCTAATACTGATTTTCAAGTTAGAATGTTTCTGAATACTGGACTATAGAGAGGGGAGGGATAATGTTGATGCCTATCTCTGTCAATTTCTTCTACTTTATGCGCTGTGTTCCCTCGGGACGTAGGTGATCATGGCTCTCCATAATTTCCTGTCCTTTGTAGCTCTTAATAAATTGTGTCTTTTTGTTATCTCTCCTAAACCCTGTTCCGCCATTCATTTACTCAAACTCATTATGTATGTCATGTGTTATTCGCCTCTGTCCCTCATGACTTAAATCACTCCTGTGAGTATCACATTTTCCAAGCCTTCCTTTCTCATTATATACTGCAGAATTTTCAATTGTCGTTCTTAATTATATTTATATAATAATGTATTGTTGGTATTTTGACTATAAAAATATGATTTTTAAATTTCAGAGGGTTTTGTTTTTGTTTGAAGGTTCACTAATTGCCCATAGCTGGGACCCTAACAGGTGCTACTACACCAGGTCAGGGTGGAGTTGGAAACAACAGCAATTAAGAGGTGGTTATATGCTTCAGGCCAGTAGACGAAATCAGATGCTGTTTAAAAAAACGGAGCGTCTATTCTAATGACGTTATCCAATAAAAATAACGTTTAAAGTAATAAAAATATGTCGTATTAATAGATAAAAGTTCATTATTTCTTTAGAAATATATATATATATATATATATATATATATATATATATATTTGTGTATTTAGGCAGCAATCCTTCTTTCATGCACATTTCATTGAAAACGAAAGACAAGGTGCTTTTATTTAGTTTAAATGCCCATTAAGGAATTGTATTCCTGATCAATCAAAATTCGTAAATAAGTATATAGGCCACACTACAACATGTTTGACAGGCAGACTCACTCTACACCTTTCTGAAAATAGCTCAATTAGATCTCATTTAAATATTCATGGAGACCATCCGGACACTATTCGGAAATTACTTGTTGACAACACTAATATTGTAGCATCATCTACATGCAAAAAAAGGCTAAAAATAATGGAAGCCTTATTAATAAAAACAAAGAAATGAATACTTAATAATATTAACTTTGAACATGGACATAATATCTTGACCATGTTTTGAAAAAAAAATAGAAACTTTTTCTAAAACATATATACAACAAACTACTTCTTATTTTAACAGTTAAAATATAATCCTTGAAAATGGCTAAATGTATAGCTCGGATAAAAAGAACATTCGGACAGTTTTTATATAATTTATCATCGGAAAAAAAAAATAAAAGCACATTGTCTGTCGTTTTCAATGAAATGTGCATAAATATATATATATATATATATATATATATATATATATATATATATATATATAATGGACTCTCCCGTCGGTTTCGACGCATGATGATCTGACAACAACCAATTGATTCAGTTATGAATATATATATATATATGCTATTATAATAAATATACATTTTGTTACTCAAAGTTTCCTACAATTCAGAGTTTCGATTGTCAGGTGCAAGAAACTCAAAGGTGTGTCAAACTGTTAGAAACAGTCAGTATATCTATTATTAGCCGTATAAACTTTACCTGTTATTTCACGTCGATTACTCTGATATATATATATATGTGTGTGTGTGTATACACATATATATATATATATATATATATATATATATATATATATATATATATATATATATAAACATATATTGCAGAGTGATCAACGTAAATTAACAGGAAATCTATCTATACATATATATATATATATATATATATATATATATATATATATATATATATATATATATTAGAATGTACAGCTTATAGCTTATATCATAAAGAAACAATTTGCAAAAATAATTAATTATAAATGTTGATGTGATTAATGACGAAATCACTCCGCTAACAAGACTTAATGAGACATTAACTTACTATCATTTCCTTGCATAATGTAATCCTTATAATTGAGTTATTGCCAGATGGAAGACACATGCCAAGTACTTTCGACAGTTTCAAATTTCATTAAGTCTTTGTATAAATTGTTTCTTCATTATATATATATATATATATATATATATATATATATATATATATATATATATATATATATATATATTCGAATAAGCTGTTTTATGCTATCGGTTAATTTGACAATAGGTTGTTTTATGTTTCTCAGAATTCATTCTTTTATTCTATATTATTTTTCCCGAATTTTTAAAAAAATTTTCCCGAATACTTTTGAATGTTGCTACATTCGTCTTCAAGTATAATTCTGTGTATAGTTACGCAACATATTTTTAATTCCGGCGTTCTCACGTTTAAAGGAACCAATTTCAAATTACCCAAGGTGGCGTCATAAACGGTCAACCTGAAATTATTGTGTGTTTTTCTTTTTCTTTCTTCAAACACACTTCCATATAATGTCTACTATGGAGGAAAAACACCTTATTTAATGTTGGTTGTTTCTCTTTTATTAAAACATTCTCCAGAATTTGGAGTCTTTCTTTGGATTGTGTCCTGTAGAAAATTTTGATGTTTTAGTGAATCTTGTCTTTTTTTATATTATTTTTTTTATTTGCCATATGGTCATACATATTGATATTTATATCAATATATATTGATATTTATATCAATGTATATTTATATTTATATATGGTTATATATTGATATTTAATTGTCATAGGATTCATTTATTTTAATTCAGCGTTTTTTTTTTGTTTTTTGAGCCGCTGTGATCATCACTCCCGTCCATGTCAAAACTGTGGTTCATGGTGGCATTCAAGGCAGAATAGAGCAATGGCTTGCGGGTTCCTTTTGCACCGGAGATGTTGAGGCTGTCCTGTCCTTCCTCTCAGGGGTTAAAGAAGCAAGACTGACAAGCCAGCAGTAAATAGTTTGAATTTTCTCTCTCTAGCCTGGCGATACTTTAGGCATGCCGTGCGATGCCAGGTCTACATGCCCCTCTCTCGTCCGTACCGACAGGGCATTACATATGGGAACGCTTTGACTGAAGGATTTGCCGGAAAGTTGTCAATAATGACACCCAACTGCATTCGGGGTTCCACTCTGAGTTTCTGTCTGTATTTACTTCGTGATTTTGATATGGTCATAAGCAAACGAAGGTTTAAGATCAAAGTTTTCCTTCCCGGAGATAGACTACCTTTCCTGCGTGTCTAGCTCTATCTACCCGAAGCAGTTGATTATGAGATGCCAGTTTTCCGCCTTTCCGTCTATTCCCAGGCTTGGAGCTACACTTAGTCGTCAGAAGTTAATTGAGACGCATGACACGGAAGAATTTTATTGACAGTGGGAGCTTGTGCCCACTATCACAACCGTTGGAACATAATGTACGTATGTAAATATTTATATGCATTACGTCTTTTAGAAGCTCCAAAAAATTAACGTTATTTTTATATATAAAACGATAGGTAAATAAAAAAAACTAGAAAGTAAAACAAGTTACTTAATGATACATAAAAAACAAACACGAATATCGAAAACCTTGTTAATTTTAAAAGTAGATAACAGAAACCAAAAAATAAATATATATTTATCAGGATCTGTCTATATTTCTGAGATGAAGTTTTATGTACACTATTTACATTATTCAGACTATTGTCCTCATCTTTGTTGCCATATTTATTACAACGTTTCGGCCCTTCAGTATCTGTCTATATTTCTGAGATGAAGTTTTATGTACACTATTTACATTATTCGGACTATTGTCTTCTTTTTTGTCGCCATATTTATCACGACGTTTCGGCCGTTGTACGTTCCGGCCTTCTTCAGGCGGTGCGAACGTCGAACTGAACCCTTTATTTCGCTCGCTGCTGTAGACTGTTCTAGTTCCACGTGCCCTGTCTAAGGGATGTCAGTTATCTCCGGTTAATTCCCCTCTCAAATTTCTCCGCCGCATTATCCAGGCCTTCAAGGAAACATAGCACAGTGGATAAAGGCATTAGTTAGATCCAGTGAAAGGACCCAAAGAGTGTGAGTTAAATATCCGGTTAAGGCGGTGGAGAACTTGGAGAGGGGAATTAACAGGAGATAACTGACATCCATTAAACATGGCACGTCGAACTAGAACAGTCTACCCCAGTGAGCGAAATAAAGTGTTCAGTTCGACATTCCAACCACCTGAAGAAGGCCGGAACGTACAACGGCGGAAACATTGTAATAAATATGGCGACAAAAATAAGGACAATAATCCGAATAAAGTAAGTAGTATATATCGGGATTTAAGCCTAAAATGCTAGGAGATTATGAAGTTATTATTTAACCCTTTGAGCCTTGCGTTCATCAATAATCTTAATCCTTCTTTAACCTTTAGTCAAAATTCGCAAATATAATGTTTCACGGTAAATATAAAAAATAGTTACAAGTGTTTACCCACCGTTCAACCGGTGGCTGGGTATTACGTGATTTTTGCTTAACACCGAAAAAGCGGTTGTCAGGGCTCAAAGGTTTAACATGCAATAAAATCAGTCTTTTTGATAGTAGTAACAGCTAAACTATCAACTGATCAAAATGAACGCGAG